AGCCACGACCAGCCTGATCCCCGCTCCCTCTCCCACAAGGAGGAGGAGGGTCGAGCGCTGGGGCCGGGTCTGTCTGGCAGCGGCTCTTTGACCCAGGGAACGAGAATCTCCATTTCTCCCTGCAGGCTTCTACCAGCTGTGCCTGGACAACCCAAACCACTTTGGCTTCATGCAGGTGTACCTGAACTTCGGGGTCTACTACGAAGGCTTCGACGGGGAAAACAAGCAGCAGGAGAGGAAAGAGCTGAACAACACCCTGGAGGCAATCGAGGTGCGTCAGGGCGATCCCAAGGCGCTCCAACGCAGCAGGGACGGGCGCGTCCTCCTCAGGGAACCAAAAAGGGTCTTTGCCATGGGCTGAGCTGCAGCTTAGTTAAATCCTGAGCCCAGCAGGCAGCTCTCAGAGTGGCTCTGCCAGCCACAGGCTCTGCCGTGGCCCCGCTGCCACGTGCCCGCCTCGTCCGCAGGTCAGCATCGAGAAGCTGCAGCTCCACGTCTTCCACATGTGGCGGTTCTACAACTTCGCCCGGATGCGGAAAGGGGCCGACGCCTTCCTCCTGGAGTCCAACTACAACTACGTCAACTGGTGGTCGATGGCTCAGAGCTGCGTCATCGTCCTCTCCGGGTTCCTGCAGCTCTTCTTCTTGAAGCGCCTCTTCCATGTGCAGAGCCCCAGCAGGCAGAAGTGCTAGCGGTGCCCAGAACCACGGGCAGCACCACTGCCCGCAGCGCTCAGAGCCGAGCTGCTCCTCCGCAGAGCGGGAGGGAAGAGTGGGTCCTGCCTGGGGGAGGAGGGAGCAGAGTTCCCCCTGCTCCTGCCTTGGCTGAGATCACCCCGACAGAAGAAAAGCGCCGGAGCTTTGTGTGCTGGGTCGGTTTGTTACAGCTCTGCCCGTCATTAGCGTCCCAACGGGGCTTTTCCACCAGCCACCCAATAAAGGAACCCCTGGCACACGCTCTGGGGAGCGACCGCAGCCTGCCGCCAGCCCTCCCTCCTCTGCAAGCCCGGGCAAAACAGCTCCTGCCTCGCAGGCAGCTGCCTGCCCCCTCAGCTCAGCCCCGGGCTGTGAGCCTCCCCCAGCCTCGTGGGCCGAACCGAACACGGCGCTTCCCCCCTCTGCAGCAGCCCCCGGGTGTGGCGCT